AGTCCTACTCTTTATTCTGGCTCTGTGAGAACCAGCAGCCTCCAGTCAGAGACTTTTTTTACCCCAGGAAATTATAAAGAAAATGCTTAAGGAAGATACACGTAACCTTGGTATTAGGTAATATGCATGAAAATTCAGAATACAGGAGACTCGAGAGTAGTTTTAATAGTTCTGTCAGTGTTATTTTGCCTTTCCTTTTGTCCAAATTTTCTATCTGGCTGTGAGGGCAGGTTGGCTGTGAGCGGCTGCCAGCGTTACTGGGGCTGCCGGCGTTGCCGGTAATGCCTTTCAGCCAGAGCTTTTAGTTTTGTGCTCAGAACTGGGAACTGCTGAATGTTGCTTCATGATACTGTTTATATGAGGGCTAAGCTTTCTTGAGGGGGGAAAAAAAAAAAAAAGTGGCTTCATCAGCCAACAGACATCTGGAAAAAGTACCCCTTAAGTTTTGTCAGCAACTTTCCTCTTCATTTATTAAGTACAGTAAAATACGATGTAATCAATTAAATTGCAGTGCTCACCTTATGCACCAAATACACTAACCTGTCCTGTAGCATAGGGATTTTTCCTTGTAGCCTGTGCATATCGCTCTCAAATGTTCAAATATTTAGGGTGTATCATTCTCACTAGAAACATGTACGTTGTCTGCTTGTATCTGTTGCAGCTGGAAAGTTTCAAGGTCTGTGCGTTGCCAAGCAGAATTTGTTGACCTTGTACCGTAAATCAAAAAGTGATGGACTCTGCAAGAGAAATCCCAAATGAGACTTCATACTCACGAGATTTTAAGGCTTAAATCCACTCAATATTTAGTTATTTTTAAATCTAAAATAGGTATTGTGTATTGTACTGAGTATGCTAGAAAAGAAATCTACAGAATGGGAAAAAGTTGGAAAAAAGGCTTGTTTTGAAAGTAGCTTAATTTTGGAGCACAGTGACTGCCTTCTGTTTCTTGGTGCTATGGTAAGATGACAATGACTGGGCTTTCCACCTTGGGCTGTGCATTTCACATAGAACAGTCTGGTTTAGCTGAACATCTTGCTGGCCTTTGGTTGTGTAAATGTTGGGAGAGAGTGTCAAACACGCCCAGAGCACTGCTAAGAGATCTTTGCCTCTACCGATCTTAAACGCCTCTGATAAAGGAGATTCTGCAGTCTCCCAGGCAAGTTGTTCTAGTTTATCACTGCCCCGCAGAGAGACCTCTTCCTAATATCTAACCTCCATTCTCTTGGCTGTAGATTTAGCTGTCTTCCTCTTTCTGTACTTAATGAGACAGATTTATTAGTGTATGATAATTCCATGAAAATAGTTGTCGTGTTTGTCACTACCTACCTCTTTTTCAGTTTAGTTCAAGCAGTTTCCCTGCCGTGGTGGATTGCACACCTCTTGTTTTCATCATGCTCTTCTGGGCTGTCTCTTTTTTTCTGTGCGTTTCTTCGACGGTAGTGCCCGACACCATATTTTGGGGTGTTGCTAGCACCGGGTCATTAGTGTAATATACTGGGATGTCTTACCTCCTCTGCTTCTGAGAGAGTCTGTAATGCCATCTTACAGTGCCTTCCGCAGCCTTGCATTGCTGGCGCCTCTTCATTTGTCATTGCGGAATTTGTTATACTCTTATCTGCCTATGCAGTTGTTTTTTCTCATGGTTTTTTTTGTGTGTGTGACTTCTCCTGCCAAGTACTTCATAATTGTTTTTACTGAATTTCATCTCGTTGACTTTGGGCAATTCAGTCACTTTGCATGCACACTTGGCCTCTAAAGGATTTTGTGAATTTGTGAGATAATCTCTGTTCCATCATTCAAATCATTACTGAAGAGAGAAGCAAAACCTCTCTGGTGACCTCAGTTAAAATGCATTTTAATTTGATAATGAATTGCTAACTGTAGAGTTTTCTTCTGTGGTGCTCTTGACGTATTACTTAACATATGCAGCTGCCACGAAGGTGCATTAAAGTTCAAGAAATGACACCTGCTCCTTTCCTTATAACATCTGTCAAGGAAGAAAATTACAATAGTTTTAATTTACTTGTTTATTGTGTTGGTTGTTTCTTATTGCCTTGTTATCTAGGTGTTTATAAACTGGCTGTTTCAAATAATCGATGCTAATACAGTTGTGGATATTAGAAGTGGCCTGGCTGCCTGTCTAATATTCCCTGAACTTCTCATTTGCAAAAATTGGTACCAGTTTCCTCTTTTCCACCTGGCCAAGATCTTCCACGTCTTATTTTTTTCAAAGAATGTTTTTAAGGTCTGGAACACATCTGATTACTATAGAGATTGATTAAGCAAGTTCTTTAAGTACTTTAAGTGGTCCAGATTTTGCCAAATTGAATACGGATTACAGACAAATTGATGATAGGTGGATGGTGAGGTGGACTGAAAACTGGCTGGGCTGAACTGACAGGCTCAGAGTGTTGTGATCAGCAGCACAAAGTCCAGCTGGAGGCCAGTCGCTGGTGGGGACCCCAGGGGTCCAAACTCGGGTCAGTAACATCTTCATTAATGACTCAGAAGAGTGGACAGGAGGCTGCACACTCAGTAGGATGGCAGATGATACAAAACTGTGAGGAGTTGCTGCACTGCGTTGTTGTGCTGCCAACCAGAGGAACCTCAGCAGGCTGGAGAAGTGGGCTGACAAGGAACCTCATGAGGTTCAACCAAGGGAAGTGCCCGGTCCTGACCCTGGGGAGGAATAACCACAGGCACCAGTATATGCTGGGGCCATCTGGAAAGCAGCTTTGCAGAAAAGAACCTGGGAGTCCTTCCTGGTGGATGCCAAGCTGAACATGAGCCAGCAGGAAGCCCCTCCAGCAAAGGAGGCCACTAGCCTCTTGGGCTGCATTAGAAGAAGCATTGCCAGCAGGTCGAGGAAGGTGATCCTTCCCCTCTGCTCAGCCCTGGTGAGGCCAGTCTGGAGGAGTGCCAGTCCAGTGCTAGGCTTCCCAGTACAAGACAGATGTAAACATACTGGAGTGAAGGGCCACAAAGATGATTAAGGGCTTGGGGCATCTCTCTTGCAAGGAGAGGCTGAGCGAGCTGGGTAGTTTAGCCTGGAGAAAAGAGAGCTCGGGGGGAATCTTAGCAATGTACACATGTATGCTTGCTAGGTTGTTATCAACCTCATTTAAGAAAAGAAAAAAGGTAAAAAAAAAGACACTATTTAATGAACTGTTTTGAATATGCAGAGGCGTACTTCCCCCCCCCCCCCCCCCCTGTTTTTTTTTTTTTTTCACTTATTTCTCAATATCATTACTTGGACTGCCAAGGCTTCTTGTCCGCTCTGTCTCCCAGAAATGGCATCCAAAGACTTGATGATTATTGTTTGAGTGATTAAATACAGTTTGGACGTTGGAGGGCTAGGGCAGATCTTTTTAAGTAGAACTTGAGTTTAAATCTAAATCTGCTTTTGCTGTTAGTTTGAACTGAAATTCATCATTGTCCTGACTTTACCCTAATGATTTGTTATAAAACTATTTCAGATGTTCACATTTTTGATGCAGAATAATAAAATCAATAGTACTGGTGATGGAAAAGGAAAAAAAAAAATGGGTAGTTTACACAGTAAACATTATAATGTCCTGTGTGACCTAATTTTAAGTCACATGCCAAAGACTTAGAAAAGGGAAATAGTCTCATTGTAAGATTTTTTTTTTTTCTCTGAAAGGCATTGTAAACTTTTCCTATTCAAATTTTTATTGCATTTTCTGATCTATATCAACATGCAGCAGCCTACTGTTCTACGGGTTTATAACCTCCAAATATGCACTGCTGCCAGCATTTCCATTTCTTTTCACTTAAGCTATCTGTATCCTATCATGATCAAAACTCCCTGAACCCTTGAAAATACGTGCAAGTGCTTTCTAAAACACTTGCAATTTTTCTGTAACGTTTTTGTCTCCTGAATGATGGGATGAATGTGGGCCAGTGTATCTAGAACAAAACAATTTTTTCTTCCTCTCCAGCAGTATCTGGCAAAGATGGCATGGATTAAGGCAGGTTATGAATTTAAAGCACAGTGTAGTTGTTCCTGAAACAGCTGTATGCGCAAGCAGTTCTACAGTCAAGGTACAAGGGCTCGTTGGCATCTTAAGGAAGGATGGCTTCATCCTTTCTCCCCTTCTGTGCTCCTGGCATGGAGGTCCCCCCTGTCTCTTTTGCCTGTGCCAGCTCTGGTGCTTTTACACCCTTCCAGCGATCTCCTTATCTCACCAAATTGGCAGAAAACTCTGCTAAGTTTTGATTTAAGTTTTTTTCCTCCTTGAGTTCATTTTCTTCAGCATTTTTGAATCACTGTGCAGGTGGTAAGGAGGAGGTAAGAGCACTGAGCTTGGGAGCAGAGAGGATGGGAGGAAGAAGTAGGACATTCCCCTCTCTGTGCTGGAGAGCTGCTAAGTTTGCTCACTGACTCTTTCATAATGTAGAGCAAGACTGGATTATTCCAAGTGAGTTCAACATGAAGATAAACTACTACAAAGGATACTGTCATTTTGGAAGAGAATTATCTACTCTCAAACTTGCTCAAAAGTGGATAAGCAGAAGCAGGTGTTGGTACAGACGTCTTGAATGTCCTGCCTTTTAAGCTGGAACTAGCAATATGATATTTGAATAAATCACAAAACCAGAGACAGTCAAAAGATAATGTTTAAATTTCCATTCTGTTGCTTTATTGTTTTCATTCTGTTGTTTTATTATTATTTTATTATGTATTATTTTATTCCAGACTATTCTAAGTGGCATTATTTGCTGTGGCTATTGCCCCACTACCCTGGTTTGGATTTTGTATTTTTTTTTTAACTTCTACAGGAATGGCTCAAAGTCAGCTAGAAACAAGGGAATCCTTTTTGGTGAATTCAGACAAGCTTTCATTCTGGCCCATCAAGCAGATAAATAAAGTGTAACTTTTATAGTAAGTTGTATAATCTTCATGAACATGCAGTAGTAGTGTGGTATTTTATGTATTAACACTCT